CGACTATCGTAGGCTTAACGCTGTTACTATTAAAGACCGCTGTCTACTCCCCCTTATTAATAAGACCCTCGATCGCCTTTCTAGTGCCTACTACTATACTATATTAGACATTAAGGACGCCTATTACCGCATCTGTATTCGTAAGGGCGATAAATAGAAGACAGCCTTCCGCACTCGCTATAGCTATTTCGAATACTTGGTTATGCTATTTAGCCTAGCTAATGCCCCTATAACATTCTAGTCCTACATTAATCGAGCCCTTTTAGGCCTATTAGACTATCTCTATATAGTTTACCTAGATAACATCCTAGTTTATATACATTCACCTAATATTGCAGAACACTAGGCCGTAGTACGCAAGGTCCTCGACCGCCTGCGAGCCTATAGACTGTATTACAAACCTTCTAAATGCACCTTTGCTACTAAGGAGGTGTCCTTCCTTAGCTTCCTCGTATTAACTAAGGGTGTTAAGGCTGATCCTAATCGGATTAAAACTATTACTAAATGGCCTATTCCTACTTCGATTAAGGAACTGCAGTCGTTCCTCGGCTTCGCTAATTTCTATCGTCGCTTTATTAAGAGCTATTTACGGCATGTAATGCCCCTAACTAAGCTTACCAAAACTAAGGCTAACCCGTCTAGAGAGTTTAAATAGACTAACAAGACGCAAGCCGCTTTTAACGGTCTAAAGCAACGCTTTACTAAAGTGCCCCTATTGCACTATTTTATACTAAGCAAGCAGATCCGTATTAAGACTAACGCTTCACAGTTCGCTATATCGGCTATTATGTTATAGCAATCAGATAAGGACTATTACTAGCACCTAATTGCCTTCTTTTTACGAAAGATAATCGATATAGAGCGTCGCTACGAGACCTACGAGCAAGAGCTCCTAGCTATTATCGAGGCCTTTAAATATTAGAGGCACTATCTCGATAGTATATAGCACACTATTTAGGTCTATACAGACCATAACAACCTCCGTAGCATTACTAAGGTTACTAGGGTTATAGGTCGACAGGCTAGATAGGCCGTCTACCTCGCCGGGTTTGATTTTAATATGTTATATCGGCTAGGCGTAAGCAACCCTGCTAATAGCCTATCGAGGCGACCTAATTACGATAGCGAGACTTAGTACATCAATTCATTGTTTCTAACCCTGTAGTATAAGATTACTATAGCCCGTATTGTTAACGAGTAAGCGTAGGATAAGCGGACTTCCGGACCCCGGGGCGGCAACAAATACTATAGCGGAGTTGTCGTTCTTCTAGTGCACGTTAAGAAGGACGTAGATCGCTCGAGCTATAATAACTCGATTAAAGATATTGCTATCCTATAGCGATAGTACTACAGAAGAGGTTGCAGTAGTTCCGGCTACTAGTGCTATTAGATGCATATAATACGTACCTCGTTCGATAGTACGGATGCTATTAAATAACCTTGCAAATAGGGATAGTTAATCGTTTATAGATAAGCTGTTGCGTACTTAGCAGAGGGACGCCTTTGCTATCGAGCGTATCGATAAGCTTGTAAGTAGGCGAACGACTCGATCTAGTAAGAGTAATTAGTCGATCGACGACAAAGGTTATTTAAAGTTTAAGGGCAGATACTATATCCCCGCTAAACAATCGATTAGACAAGAGCTTTTAAAGAGGCACTATAATAGTAAGCTCGCTAGTTACTATAGCATAGAGAGGTCGTACGAGCTACTATCGCGCATATACTACTAGCTAAATAGTAAACGGCATATAAAGGAGTATATACAGACCTATATAGTATACTAGCGAGTTAAAGCACCTAAGCACTTACCATTTAGCGAGTTGTCTTCACTTCCTGTTCCTAGGAAGCCATTTGCTAAGCTTATAATAGACTTTATTACAGGCCTTCCTCCTACTAAGCGTAGGGGTAGTAAGGATGTATATAATGCTATCCTTATTATAGTAGATCGATTCACTAAAGGCGCTCGATACATCCTAGCGCGCAAGGATTGGACTGCTATTAATATAGCAGAGGCGCTGTAGACTAACATCTTCTACACCTATTAGGGAACCCCTAAGGGGATCGTGTCCGATCGTAGATCGACTCTAACATCTTACTATTAGAGCGAGATTTGCTTGTAGCTAAGACTAAAGCATCGGCTATTAACAGCCTTCTATCTATAGACTAACGGTTAAACAGAGAGGCAGAATGCTACCCTATAGCAGTACCTGCGTAGTTACATTAACGAGAACCCTAACGACTAGGTTAACCTCCTATAACTAGCTGAATTCGTATATAATAACAGTATCTACTTATCGACTAAGGTATTACTATATATAGCTATAATAGGCTAGAACGCTGCTATACTATAAGACCTACTGTCGCTTAAGGCCGAGCGTAAGGAAAGGGAAGCGCGTTAAGTACCGGAAACACTAGCGGCAATAGAACGTATCTAGAAGATGCGAGAAATCTATACTAAGATAGCTAAGAAGCTAACAAGGGCTTAAGAGTACTAAAAGGCCTACTACGATAAGCGCTATATACTAATAACCTTCAAATAAGGCGATATAGTTATACTAAGCACTAAGAACCTCCGTATCCGCAAGCACCTATTACCTAATAGCAAAACAAGGCCTAAGCTCGTACTAAGATACATTGGCCTATTCCGTATTCGAGAAGTTAAGGGCTCTTCCGCATAGGCCTACTAGTTATAGCTTCTACCCTATTACACTATTTATAACACCTTCTATATATCCCTTCTTAAACTATACTACTAGCGTAAAGGCGATGAAGCGCCTGCTAAGTTAGAAGAAGTCTTAGCTAATAGTAAAGAGCTGTAGTCTGTAGAACGTATCCTAAAGTACCGGACTAGGCAAGGCAAGAAGGAGTACCTACTAAGATAGCAGGGCTATTTACTAGAATAGGACTTATAGGAAGCTGAAGATTCCTTCGAGGATATAACCGAGTTGTTAGATAAGTATTAGACTAGCGCGAAGAACAAGAAGAAGGCTAAGGGCCTATAATGTCGCCTAGGATTAATACTACCCCCGGGGTACTATTAGCTAACTAATTAGAGACAAGCAATTGTTAGCAATAAAGGACAATAAGACTACGCTAGGCGCGCTACGACGCGTTAATTAATTAATCGTATGCTCTTTTAAGGACTCTACCTCTTTACTAACGCGCCCTATAGGTCCCTCTCTTATTCCTTCGTTCTATCGAGGCCTCGAGGCCTAGGCGATCGGCGAGGGCGGCGTCGCGCTTGTAACGGCGCGGCCGGCGCGGCTATATTAGTAACGGTGTTGCGGAGTGTATTACTGTTTAAGAAAGGAAGCTATATTAGTAACGGTGTTGCCGAGTTATTATTAGTTAAAGAAGGAAATTAGAAGAAGACACAACCTTACCTGCACTACGAGCCTAAGGCACCTTTAATTAAAACTTTGATTAAAAGCTTTGAGCCTATTAAAGGTTCGATCAAAACTTTAAGGCCAAGTCAAAACTTTGAGCCGCCTAAAAGATTAAGCAACTAATAGACTAACTAAGGGCAAAACTATAGAGCTAAGCTAGCCGGGGTCGATCTTGCGGACAATAGGTTACTCCTCGATCTTTCCGACCCTTTAAGCGAGGCGAACCTCTACTACTATACTTATAATAGCCTTTACCTATAGAAACTAGAAGAACTAAGTTTTTTAAAAAGATATAATTAGTTAATACTTAAAGGCTGCTAAACCTAACTAATTAGGGCTAGTAAAACTACGATAGTAAACAATAGCCCTCGTAACAACAAGAACAATCCCTCGTAACAACAAGAACAACCCTCGGAAGCGGACATAGCTAGGTCTTTTAAGAGTAGACGCAAAGAACTCGATACGATATCACTTAGAACAGAGGCAGTACTGTAATACCTCGTACGTCTACCTATTATAGTAGGGAAGACGCGCTCGTATTGTAATTAGTCGAAGGCCTTTAATTCTTGTAGATATATATTACTTTATAGTTTATTATATATAGAGATAGCGCAGTTAGAGTTGTATATTGTATTGTTTAGAGGTAAGGTTTAACATAGTTATATAATTAGGTAGTTGAGTGTTCAATTTAGCGCGGGCTAAGCAGCTTATTAGACTTGCTAAGTTAGCGGCAATAGAGGTCGTAGAATATAGACAGGCTACGAGGGCGCGGCCTTTAGAAGGGAAGCGTATATTAGGGCTAAAGAGGCTATACGTAATTAGCATATAACTAGGCTAAGTAAAGCTAGGGTCTCAGTGCCTTAGGCAGGGCTTAGCGCTTAGTAATAGGCTAACTTGCCTACCTTCCTCCCTTTTCTCTTAGATCTCTATCGAATACTACTCTTACCTACTACTACTATATCTACCTACTAATATAACCCTTCTCACAAATAATGCTTAGCGAGTCGCGCTATTTCGGTAGGTAAGGGCGTAGGAAGGGCTCGTACGGCGTAGAAGAGCTAGAATAGCTAGAATACTAATAATAATACCTCGGACTATATATTTAACGGCTATACTATTAATATAAATACTATTTTCGCGCGTAGTATTGCAATAGGCCGACTAGAGGACGAAATGCACGATTTACTAGTAAAAAGTTAGTAGGGCTCCTCCAGTTCTTAGCAGTCTCAACCTTCCGGCAAAGCACAGTAGCGTGCTTCATTATACGCATATGCACCTTTCACAAGCTCCGCCTAGCCTTTGTCGCACATGTTAATTCGTCGAATCTTGAATCTACATCACTGGCAAGATGATCGTACGGTGCCATCACTACCGGAGCGCAAGAAGATCAGCATCTGACTACCGGTAACGTTGGGGCTGTATCATACCAATCGTATCAAGAGCCAGTCATTCTACCTCAATCCCAAATGGCAACCGATCAGTGACCGCTCAACAACCGCATCCACTACACCAATGACCTCATGTTTGATGAGACTGGATGCGTAATGTGCCTTGACCAGAGCTTCGTTGGCCAGTTTATTCGTTACGCGCATTCGCAAAGAATTTCAACGTACCTCATCCTCCGTTCCCATTTTCCCTTTCCCCCATGAAAATCCCAAGCTGCAACCCGACCCTCTTTTCCACGAACGCATCAGTCATAATTGCAATCTCAGGTAGATTGTGCCCTCTCAGCACATCAATAGCAATGATCGAATGGTTCTGTGGGACAAGTCAGCATCAGCTTGCCGTTGTTCCTCGCCTCAGTCATCTGCAGACTAACCTCAATAGCCTTAACAACCCTCTCCAACCTCTCCGAAAACTTCAGCACCCATTTCTCAGCAGGACCGAAGAAATTGGATTTCCTGGCTCCGGTCCGATGAACTTCAAGAATCTGGTCCTAGATTTCAATCATTCAGCACCACGCTCTGCAGCTCGCGTAAGATCTTGACTGACAAGCATAACCCAACATCTCCTCTCCGCCTCAACCTCCCCATTCTCATCTTTCCCCACTATCTTTCCCAAATTCTGATCCTGATCGGTTTGAAACGCTCTCCAAGCCGCAGGATCAATATTGACGGGAGCAGGACTTCGCGATTCCTCCTTCACATCGCGCTTCGCATGCCTCATGATCGCATGCCAAAGATCGTAAACGAGAGCTTTATGGTTTTCTTCTCCACAGATCTCGAGGTAGTCATCGTCAGGTGGAGAAAGGTTGTAAGATGAGTTGACGTCGTTGCGCGCTTCTTCGATGCTGTTAAATGCGAAGCCATGCTCGAGATAGTCGAGAGGCCCAGTTGGCATTGTGTAGGCTGGAAGCGACTGAACGTCGCGCGATGCAGAGTGGAAGTCTTGGCCGAAAGACGTGCCACTGTGAGAAGATAAGCACGTTTGGAAAGTAAGAATAGCGAGAGTGAGGTTGGAGAGGCTGGTGGCAGTTCTATTTGGCTGCCTGTTGGTACTGGCGGCGGCACCGCCAACTGGATGTATGAGCGCAGAGGTCATCATTTCCAAGTGACGGCACGGAGCTGCGTTTGCCGAGGAGCTTGCAGCTCGATCAGTCTCTGGATCGTCTTTTGACGAGGCCGACCTTGACAGGACTGAAGAGGCACCATCGGAACTCATTGCTTCCGCCGCCTCCAAACGCACGATGCAGGCGATACCAGCCACATATCTCATCTATCATCTATGCCGTCTTAAGCTTTTTGTGCTCATGAAGTCGTTTCAGTCTGCTCATATCCCTCCGTTTTGATATCGCTCAGTCCCAGATCATCCTCTTCCTCTTTCGTTCTCTCATAATCTTCTAGCGCTATCTTCGGGTCTGGCTCAGGTGCCGTCAGACTCTGCACGTATGATCCGGCCAGAGGATCCTGCAAGGTCAAAGTGAACTCCTTCCGACCCTCAATCGCATCGGTCAGCAGTTCGAAAAAGTCGTCCCACTGCTTCTTGCTATCCGCGGTCATGGAATCACCGGCGCCTTCCGGAAGCTCAGCATCGCCATCTTCGAGACCGAACGCCTGCGCTCGGAGATCTTTCCGTATTTGCGACATGATGCCCTCCACTGTGGTGAAACGTCCACCCATGGTTCCAGGCTGCACCTCTAATCTAAGTTCGGGGCAATGCAGAGACGCACTTTCGCTCTTAAGGATATCTCGCGCCAAGTCTTCTGGTGTGCTGACCTTCAGTGTGATCTTGCGGCCTTTCTCCGGCACTTCGCCGCCAGTCTTGACCTCGTTGCTCCTGTAGCCGCAATCTTCGCACACTGTTGACATGAGCACGACTTGCTTGAAGTATGGAATATTGACCATTTTCATGTTCGTCGCACAAGGTCTTGTGCAGCCTGGACATGATGCTGGGAAGCTGTAGACCTGGTTCTCAACAATGTCCTCTTCCTGATCAACATTGTTGCCTTGCACAGTCGGTGCGCTCTCGCGACCAACGAGTCCTTCAGCGTGGTATTCTGGCCTGATATTTGTCTCGGGTGCTTGCGAGATAGGTGCAGGAACATCGTCGCCAAGTCCGAGCTGTGCATTCTGTGCTCCCGTCCTGATGTACTCGCTCTTTGCCCATTTGCCTGCAGAGTCTCCTGGCTTCGGCTCAATCATGCTGTTCCCACTAGGGTCGTCCACGGATACCATGAAAGGATATCGTTGTCCATTGAGCATATCCTCCAGTGTTCTTATGATTCCTGCCACCTTTGCGCCAACTTCGGGCATTTGCCTCATACGCTCATCCTGGTGCTGTTCCAAGTCGGCTTTCACTGCGCCAACGATGCCCTCCACATTCGAGTATTGTCCCTTGCCTGGTGGTATTTCCAAGTCCACATCTTCTATTCGGAACGCACAGACATCGCTCTTGACTACGTTCCGCTGCAAATCGTCGTTGCTCTCTACTCGTAGCGCATACTTGGCGCCTTTCGGTTGGATCTGGCCGGCAGATTGAATCTCGTTGTTCTGGAAGCCGCATTCGTCGCAGGAGAAGGACATGATCACAATCTCTCGGAAGAAGGGGATCTTTGTGAGTAGCATTCTGGTCGTGCCGTCTGCGTGACAGTTCATGCACAAACTCTCGATCTCTTCAACAACTTTCTGGTCGTCCGCTCCAGACATGTTGTTGACCTGTCGGCCCATGTCTTCGAAGAGATCATGTGCCAGAGACTTGGTGCAATTCTGCTGGCTGCTGCTTGCTTGCTGTGCCATATCCTGCGGTAGTCCCATTGTGTGTTCTGTGAATGTGAATTGGTGAGTCGCGAACTTAAAAAGTTTTGGATTTGTGACGCAAGTCCTTATGCAATCGAGGAGGGATGACAAGACACGTTATGATTGGCTCGCGATTACCCGCCGCTAGCAGGCAGCTTGAATAAGCGCTTCTCGAACGTTCACCTACATGCCCGCCCCGCGAAAAGGCTCCACGGATTGCTCGTTCCAAAGACATACGGGCACGAATCCAGCTCAATGGCCTTCATCAAGCATGCCTGAATCATGTCCGAAAGACCTCGTAGCCATCAACAACCATGCGTCCGAACTCGAGCTTCATGAGCAGACGGTCAATGCTGCCGCCATCCTTCCATGCGTCGAACTCACCTTGATCTGGACGCTTCTGCTCTAGATGCCGAAGAGATCCTACACGGTCTCCATCAAGTTGCCGAAGTCGGCGAATGACAGACTTGAGATCGCTGTCGACCTTCTTCCGTGCTCGATCAAGTTCCAGAGACATGCGTTGCTCTTCTTGTACAGTATGAGCGGATTCACTGCCGGATTGTTGCTCGAAATCCAACTTCTGCTGCATATCAAGGAGTCGCTGGAAGTAAGCAATCAGATTGTCGACGTTGCCGAGCAGCGACCGCAGCTCTCGGGTGAATTGCATGTCAGTCAGTAAAAGCGCGTAAGTGAGCGACGACAGAAAGGTGCGATGACCTGCTGCGAGTGTTTCCGGGTCGCGCTGGATTGGCTTCTCGGAGGCGGTGGACGATGTGCTTCTCACGGACTGCCTTAAGGGCTCTTCGATCCAGGCTTGGAAATGCTCGCAAGACTGCCGTACTATCTCACCCTCGAAGAAAGCCGCAGTCTCAGAGAGCATGAACGTAGCAGCACTGCAGGTCGCCCACACGCGTCTCATGGCGACGTTACGCGCATTGTGGCGCGGCCTCAATCCACTCTGATTTGCTGTTGACACAGGATAAGCTCTTCGAGCAGGTGTCCGTTTCCATAAATTGTTCAGCCTCTGGTGGCCTCTCCTAATCGCTAGCAGATACGAGCTTATCGCAGTGTAGATTTCCAGATCTCTGGAAGACAGGAACAGGTCAAGCGGTGGCGACACACTCATGCTTAGTTCGGTAGGGTTTGGGAACAACAGATTGTTGAATGCAATCGATGAGATCTCTGGCATCCCATCACTTGAGCTATCGGCAGTCGATGGGCGGGAGCTGATGTACTTCGGGTTGGTTAATGAAATCTGCGATTGAGCATAGTCAAGAGTCGTGTCTTCGCCATGTGCATCTGCCACCGCAAGTGACCTCCACACATGACGAAGAACTTGATTCAGCTCAGTGTCTTTCATCGACAGACTCTGTAATGCCCTGACTGGGTCCTGAGCAAGCAGCTTGCCCATGTTTTGTTGACGAGACTGCACTCGCTCTTCTGCTTCAGCGATCAATGCAGTCGCGAATTCGCCTCGGTCAAGCAGGAAGATTTGTCGCAGGCACGCCAAGACTTGTACGGTCTCGCTCATAGGAAGTAGGTGCTGCAAAACATTTTGAGATAGGGAGAGCCTGATTTGTGCGATGATGCGCGAGAACTGAGAAGGAACGATAGGAAGTGACAGCGAGGAGAGTTGCTGGAGATGATCGGACGCAATCTCAGTCTGGTTCGCAGCTGGTATTGAAGGGGTCGAATGAGTATGAGACGAGCGTCGATAGTACTCAACTTGATGGATTGATTTTCCGATGAAGAGCAGGGAAGCAGCAAGGCTTGGTGTTACGAAGGATGGCAGCAATTCTTTATTTTTGGCGAACGAGCGACTTCCCTCGTCGCCTTCAGCACGTATGAAGAAGTCCCTGGCCCCAATTGTGGGAAGCTTTCCATGAACAATCCAGGAGGACAGTTGTCGTAGCCACGCACGCTCTGCCAGTTGGGCAAGTTCGGTCGCAGCGTCTTCAATTTCAGGATAGCCGGTTTGCGTTTCTGCTCGAAGCTTGTCGATCAGACGGGCACTAGTGCAGGGAACACCAGATCCGGAGGCATGTTTTGGGGAGCTCATGAAGGTTGCAAGGTCCCAATACCAGCTCATACGCCGTGACCATTCGTCGAACTCGGCGACGAGCGTAGCGAGAGGGACGATGTCGTAGGCTCCCACGATGCCCGGATCATTCTTCAGAATCTTGCTCTCAGTCTCCAATATCTTCTTCTGGAAGCGAGCCAAATGAGTCTGCTGCACTGAGGTAGCGGCGGCCCTGCAGATGACCGAGGGATGATTTGTGGATATGGTGTCGAGATGGCGCTTCAGCCTACGATGCAGTTCTGAAAGTCTCCCAATAGATTGCAGTAATGCCTTCTCAGACGGGGAGAGTAAGGGCAAGCCAGAGGCGTCATGGTGCGAGACGCTGTCTGCGAAGAGTGGTGAAGGGTGGCCTGAAAGGGCCAGCAATATCTCGTGCAACATGCCGGATCCGAAATGGTGCTGCCTGCCACTTTGGTTCCTAGCTGGCTCGAGCAGGCGGTGCAGTCATGCTTTGACGGCCGTCAGCCTGGTCTCTGGAGCAGGCTGTAGCCGCAAAACAGTTCGCCAGGTGGTCCGTTGCCTTGTCGCAGAGGCGCAGGTGACACGAGCTTGGTCGGAATGGCATAGGATGGGATGGACCGCGTTGTTTTCTCGGCAACGCGTGTTGATCGGTTTGAGACACGCGATCTTGTGCCGATCGGGTACGGCGCCCACTGCTTCGAAGGCTCACGAGAGAGCTGGGCACGCGCGTGAATGTCACTGCCGCTGCTCGCGATGTTCCAGACGTGCGTGATGCTTGCGGCGTTGTTGTATCGCGAAGTCATTGCGAAGTGCTGGCAGCCAACAGGGATGGTCGACCTCGAGACCTGGCCCGTGCGTCGTGCATCGAACCTGAATGGGGTCCCGTTCGGTCGTCCGGTTGTCGTGGTATAGATAACGGCATATATAGCGCCTTGCTACTGTCGTTTGTATCTACAATATATCGTGTTAAATTGGCGCTATAATCTTACGATAACAGGTGTCTGTTCGCTTGCCTAATTGTTGTATAGTAGATAGTAGTATAGGATATTATATTACTAAGCCGGTCTAGGCACTTAAACCTCGCGAGTTTAGTAGCTCTAATACTGCTATCTCGTAGACTATAGATCTATCGAATATCTTGTCCGATAGCTAGTAGGTTATAGTAGGTAACGAGTTAATTAATAATACCCTCTTCTAGTAGTAATTAGCGTAGTTCTAGCGGTCTACGTCCTTCGATCTAGCCTCCGAATAGAGCTAGAGTCTAGTATATAAGGAGTCCTTCTCTTCGTTACCTGCGCCTTCTAGTCCGGCTCTTTCTTTACTAAATTCTCGACTTAGTATACCTTAAGGCGATTCTATAACGCTAGGCTCTTAAACGCTAGATCTGCCTATATTTAATGCTACCGGTCGAAGGAGTAGTAGATCGGCTACGCCTCGAGCGGATAGCACGTCGCTAAGCTAGATAGAAGGTATATTATAGGCGCTACTATCGTCGTTAGTTTAGAGCAGTTCTAACGGTTAGAGGGACCTCGAGGGCGGCTTTAAGCCTATCGCTATATAGCGTGCTATTATAAAAGTCGCTAAGGTAGCGCTAGAAGATCGGAGGGCGAAGGTAAATAAGGATAAAGTGCTAGGCAAGAAGTATATACTATAGAACGATTATAAGCTATAGATAGCGCTTATAACGAAGTCTAGATAAAGCAAGAGTCTAGAGACTAGATTGCTAACTACTAAGAAGGCGTTAATAGACGAGTTCTTTACTATACCCGCAAACTAGAAGAAATATAGCAAATTTAGGTATAAACCTCTAGCGAACGAAGAGACTCTACGGATATTGTTCTCGGAGACTACTACTAATAGTAAGTACGCTCTTAGTATCGATACGCTAATAAGAGGCTATTCGTCGTCGCCGGCGCCTTCGATAATAGAAAGCGAGTCCTCGGAGAGTAATATTACGAGTATAGTTGCTAATAGAAGTCGCGCGCTAGCATTAAGGAAATACGCCGCTATTAATTATACTAGGTAAGAGAAAAAGAAGAAGTAGAAGATAGCGGTATCGCAAATGTCCGAGTCTATAGATAGTATCGCTAGTTAACTCGCGGAAAGCAATAGAATACTAGCGTAACAACCCTCTAACGCTTAAGAGCGACTCGGCAATCTAATACGTACGAAGCCCTTCGTAGAGCGCTAGCCTAAGATACGGCGGCGGAGAGCGGCGGCGAGGAAGTTAATTAATAAGGGCGAAGTATCGTTATTTCTTAGAAGTGCTATAGATAAACAGGTTAAATAGGTTAAAGAGATAATCGAGAAGATATTTAGTCGTAATAATAACTTAGAGGACGTTAGAGCTCCGGTAGAGTAGCTAAACCGTCTAGTAGAGGAGATTTTATAGGTTACCTCTAGTTAAACGTACTTTAAATCCTCTACTTCGGCTGCCTCTCGCTCTACCTAAGCTCTCGCGTCCTCCTTTAGATCTATACTAAAATGCTAAGAATGCCGAAAAATAAGCGAGTATAGATATATAACATTTCGAGGTAAGCGACGGTATAGTAATAAGGAGCGATTAATAGGACAACTAGAGGACAAACAGCTATATTTTAGTACTATTTACTAGGCGCTACGGTATATTCGTCCTCCTCGTACCTAGCTACTTACTCTCGTATTTATCGCTACTATTTACTATTATATAACCTCGATATTTTAAGAATATATCTTCGCTTAGCGAGTCTCGGAAGGCTTCTATCTTATTCCTTTCGCGATTAATATCTATTCTATCGACACTTAGGCCTCGTCCGTCGAAGTAGTAGGTCTCGTCTCGTTACGGAGCTAATCTCTTTTAATATAAGCTCCCCTTCTCGATTAGGAAGTTATAAAGGGCAGTATAAACGTATACTAACTTAACTTATATAATATAGTTAAACTCCGGCGTTGTCTTAAAGATCTTAAACCGTCGTTTAAAGATACTAAAGGTCCGCTTAACGATATTACAAAGAGACGAATAGCGTAAGTTAAATAGCTTATATTCGTTCTACGGCTTATTAAGGGCTTCGTACTACTCCTTTAGATAATATCTTACGCTCCGGAAAGGTACGAGAGTAATATTAGTATTGCTATAACTAGTATTAGCGAGATAATATTTTCCTTCTAGAGCGCTAAATCTGTGCCTCGAGATAGTATTATTTAATATAGTACCGTCGTACGCTAAACCCTCCTATCTAGGTAGTACGAATATAAACTAACGCTCGAAGTTAATAGCCGCTAACATATTCTACGATATAGAGCCCTTATAATCGCGGAAACGATACTATTCTTCGATACGTATAAATGCCGGCAATTTAGTACTATCGATCGCTCCGATATAGTCCTTAAAGAACGGCTAATATTTGCCTCCTCGTCGCTTTATTACTAGCGAGTCTTTACTTCTTACCGGATTTACGAGCTTCTTATATAGTAGTAATAGCGCTTCTAGCACTTCGTAGACTATCCCTAATACCGTCGATATTAAGTAATAGAAGTCTTTAGTAATATCGTAGTACGGACGCGCCTTCGTTACGATATTTAGGAAGATTAGAAGCTTCTAAAAGGTACTAATATTCTTACTATTAGATAATATAGGTACCTCCTTTCCGCGGCGCTTAATCGTCTCGCTATTCTTAAATATTATATTATATAGCTCGAGAAACTAACTTAGAGTAAAGCGATAGTATCGATATATACGCTAATCTTCGCTATCTAGCAACTTGTATATAAACCGCTCGCCCTTTAACTCGTCGATATAGACCGTTTGTACGCCGCCCGATATCGACTCGACGTACTACTAGATTAAGAGCGATACTATAATAATTACTAGTAACGTATTCCTTCGAGCTATCTTCTATAGATATAGACCTATCTTTTTATCGTCTATACTATGCCTTTCCTTATTACGGTCTCGCGGTATCTCGTAGGGCTAAGAAATAGGCGATATATTACTAACGAAGGCGTAGGATCGAGTTTGCGAGATAATACCTATTCTTATCTACTATACTATATTTAGGTATAGAAGCGAGGGTTTAATAAGTATCTACTTTATTAGGTTCAAGAGACGATATCTAGGCACGATAACACTAGCTCGATAACGACGACAACCGAACAAACCGGCGATGTCGTAGAATACAGTGATATCTATATAAAGTGGAGCCACGACAACAGGACGACCGAACGGGACCCCCAGTGGGCCTGGCAGGGTCTGGCGACTCCACGTCTGGAGCTGGAGCTGGCGCTGGCGCTGGCGCTGGAGCTGGCAGCGCACTTGGTCGGTGTTCTGCTGCACGCCTTCCAACTTCCAAGCAGCTCTCGTACATAAGGAAGCTGTAAGCCGAGCCTCTCTTTGTTCGCATTTTCCCTGCTCCACCTCCACCTGTCCCCTCCACAATACAATACATCGGTCCTCTCCCACTCCGCCCGCCGTCCTCTGCACCTGCCATCAATCTCATCGTCTCCATCCAACACAGACAGCTACACGTACCACCACCGCCACCGCTACCCCGCCCTCGATTTCCGGCCAGCCAAGATGCAGAACATTAGAGCCAAGATCAAGAGGAAGTTGTCAATGCATGACAAGAACCGTATATACCATCGTGCCAGCCACACCGCTACGTCACGCTGACAGTAGGAACATAGCAAACATCGACGATGTCGAGGATGCAAGCGATGTAGATGAGGAGACATACGGAAACATCTCCAAGGACATTGACAGAGCCGAGCGGGATGGTCATGATCAGGGCAAGCCAGGCAGCTTCCTCAACAAGCTGATTCTTAGGCGAGTCTCGCTCTGATACAGTATGCATACGCTCTGCTGACCCAGCGCAGTGGGAATAAGAAGACCGAGGAGCAGCTGGCGAGAGAGTCGCAGCTCTCAGCCGAGAACAAGAGGTGATTGTGAGAGCTGCAAACGCCAACAGCATTGGGATAGAATCAGGGTACGCAAGGTACGCAAGTCGGTAACGCAAATACAACAGAAGGAAAGACTGCATAAGCACAAGTTGAAATTCCTTGCCCAAGAAGTTGTACAGCGGGCCACCTTTACCTCTCATTGTGGTTGGGTGTTCATCATCGCACCGATTTGGAGAACACATCAGCAGCAATGGGTTCATTTCGTAACCATGATGACCATGCTCGTCGGCATCCATGTTCCAGTCTGGATCATTGAGGAGCCATAGCTTCTTCTGCCGCTTTTGAGAGCCGTCGATCGTGCCCTTGAACGCCCTGTTGACACGCTGGCCGAGGAAAAGAGCGCGCAAATCGTCACTTGCGACCAGGATCGCCTCTAGCAGCTCGACAGTGTTGATGACTTGGTGGCAGGCTGCGAAGTTCTTCCCCTGCATGGTCGTGGATGGTTGATTTCGGGTGCTCGCTTTCGTAGCCATCTTGGATATCTGAACGACTCGAGTAAGCTTTGGTGCTTAAGGAGATGGAGAACCTGCAGAGAATGGACTAGCCCTGTACCTACTAACCCCGCGCCGCGGGCAAGACGATTCGATGTGCAACAATGCTGATGAAGAATGTATGAAGTTGATATCGCGCTGATGGCCGCCGTCGGAGACTGTTGCAAAACGGTCATGCATGTGATGAGTCGAAAAAGCTTGGCAATTCACATTGTGAGGCCCTGTCTACTTGCCCTCGTTTATAGCATAATCTGACCGCAGATTATAATACCTCTTCTGATAACCTACACTGTCTTATGAGACAACGGTTATTGAATTGTAGATTATCGCTGTGCTCGTAATCTCGCTGAGATTATGCTATATATAGTATAATTAGCATAACTAGGTCTCGAGGAGCTTTTAAGCCTATCCGTGCGCCCTATAGACTTCCGCGCCGCAGTATCCACCTCTTTCCACGTCTTGTTTGAAGCTACGAATATAGCGGTATAGCGCTCGAGGAGGTATACGGCGGAAGGTACGGCGGAGGTATAAAAAGCGGCGCGATAGATCGATTATTAGCGGTAGTGTTGTCGGTTAGCGCTATTGCTAGCACTATACCGTTATTGCTCGAAGAACTACCTAAATTGCGACGCCGTGCGATATATCGACTAATAGGGCGGCGGTCGGTTTAAATAGACCGTAATAAGATAGAAAGTAAGGCATTTCGAGTACTATATAGTCCGCCGAGGTACTGCTACGAGCGTACGAGACTAAGGCAACCGGTGTTACGCGCGTTAATTAATAAGCTAAGGAAGTATAGATTAGAAGGCAAGAGTAAGAGGTATAGGTACTTACTAGAGGCACGAGTTATCCTCTTCCTCGTTATAGTAGGCTATAACAGGAGTCTTAGCAACCTTGCTAATAACTTTAGTATAGTAAGAGAGACTCTAAGAAGGATAATCTATACCGTCTCGCGCTGCTTCTATCGGATAGCGAAGGACTAGATTAAATTGCCGTAGAAGGACGATAAACCGCTATAGTCTAAGGGTACCGATAGTAGCAAATTCTAGCTATATTTTAAAGGCGTTATAGGCGCTATCGACGGCACCTTATTAATAGCTAGTCTACCGAAGATTGATAGTAATCTATAGCGTTATCGGAAGGGCTATATTACGTAGAATGTAATAGCCGCCTATAACTTATCTTTACGCTTCCTATATATAATGCCTAGATATAAAGGGTTAGCGACAGACGGTACTATATTAAGGAAGGCTTATTAGTTAGGCTTCGACGTACTAGATAGCTACTTCTATCTTGCTAATAGTAGTTATTCCTTTAAGGATCTAAGGCTCCTCGTACTATATTAGAAGACACGATATTACCTCCGTAAGCAGGGCGAGGCAGAAGAACGACTATCTAATTATCGAGAGATTTATAACCTCCGCTACGCTTAGCTTCGTAACTATATCGAGAGAGTGTTTAGTGTTATAAATAGGCGGTTTAAGGTTATTAGCGAGGGACTAACTAGATAGCCGATTGCCTAACAAAGTCGCTTTGTTATCGCCTATTATATTATCTATAACTTTATCCTATCCGATAGTCGACAACCGCTGTCTTTAGAACTAGGCCTTCTTCTAACCGACGCTAAATTAAATGCCGCTCGAGACGCTAATACTACGGCGGAGGTTTATATCGATAATAGGCGCTACGCCGCCGACGATATTAAGGACGAGAGTTACGCGGATTATCGTAATAGAATAGCGAAGTAGATGTTTGCTAAATACGACGACGATCAGTTAAGAACTAGACTCAATATAAGGGCTTAAAAGCAAGAGGTACTACTCGGAGTGCGGCGAAGGATATAATAGGGTATAGTTAATGTTTATAGAATGCAAAGGCAATAGGTAGCGTTCGGTTTTTAGTAAGGAACTTAGTATAGATTCGAATTTGATGCTTAAACTATACATGTTCTAGACATTACCGTCGCCTGTTCCGCGCCTACTCCGTCCTCTCGTCGAAATTCTCGTACGCTAAATAGCGGGGTCTTAGCAGGCTTTTTACGATATTAGGATTCGAGTTAATAGGATATAGCTTTTTTGCATATAATAGCACCCTATACGTAACTACTATTTGTTAGTAAAAATTAACAACACCTCTACACAAATTAATAGTATAGACGTTAGCGTGCATTTACACTAAAATTCTGTACCTAATCCACGAATTCTTATATCCAATTGCATTAAATACATACTTCTTCCGCTATTTCTAACTATTCTTATTAATAACAACCTATTGTCTATATCCTAATAGTACGTATCTACCTTCTATCTGCTGTAGGTATGTATTCTGTCGGATATTGGACTTAATGTCTATTAATACGGACAGGAAGTACTCCTCAAATTGGTCCTAGTTTATACTCGAAGCGACCTTATAGTAGTTAAACTCCCTATTCTTCTTTGCGACCTCGCGTACTAATAATATATAATTAGCCGACGGTATGTCTATATTCTTGAACGTCTTCTTATCTAGTAGGCGCTTTGTAACGTTACTAACGATTAAACTAGCCTTCGCAGTAGCTAGCGTATTAGCCCGTTGCTCGTCCGCTAGTTTCTTCGCTAAAGCACGCTCTTCCTTGCTATCCTTTACGACCTTAGCAACTATTAATACTATAGGCTTAAACGCCTTCTATAGCGACTTTACAATAGTTAGATTCTTCTTAGTAGTCTCCTCGGCCTTCTTATAGACACGATTAGCCTCCTTCTACATCTTCTTTTAATGCTTTTCCGCCGCCTTCGCAGCCCGCAATACTATTAATTGCTCTTCTGTAAAGGGCGTAGAAGCTACGCCTTCTACGGTAACCTCGACCTCGGATTCCTTCTTACTACTTCTACCTTTACCTCCTTCCTTATCGCTCTCGCCGAGCGCGTCGTTAGATACTACATTCTCGCCTATAGCTACCTCCGAGCCGATTAACTCGTCTATAATATTAAAATGCTCTAGCAATTCGTCGCGGAAGGGGGTATACCTTAGATTCTTATCGAAGTAAGCGTCTTCTACGTCCGACTCGGCAGTTAGAGGTATACTATTCTAGCCGCTTATATGCTTCAAGTAAGCAATCTATACACTCTAGTCCTTCTTAACTAATAACTACTTATTCTTTAGGTAGTTAGCGGTGCGCTTAGTGCTATATTTCCTGTTTATTAACGTTGCTAGGTCTCGAAGGTCGCCTAACTAGAAGTTATTAGCATTAGTGCTACGGCTAATCTTCTTAAACTCGTTCAACTAATCGAGGAAGTATTCGGTCTATTCTTAAGTCTACTATTGTAGCGCCTTACGTTGCCTATCCTTATTAATTAGTGTTATAGTCGCCGTACGCTTCTAAGTCGCCTTTACCTTTGCCTTTAAAGAAGAAGGCGTATTTAATAAAGCCTAAGAGGGCTAAGATTCGCTCGATTGAGAGACTATAGTGTCTAGTATTCGAATAGCTTTAAACTAAGAGACTAACTGCTCGACTAACTACCTATTTGTATAGTAACTACACTATAACCTACCCTTACCGAAGCACTCGTCCTCCCCGCCCTTCGCCCGCCGATTTCCTCGTTACTATACCGCCTATATTATCAATGATTATACATACTACTAGAAGCTATATAGTCTACTGCAAAGAGGTAGAAATGTAGCTGCCGAGCCGCAGGCCGCGGAGGCTTATTATGTGGGTCTTAACACCTAGCACTGTCTACTAAATAACCGATTATGAGGCGCCATAATCTGAGCGGATTATGAGGTTATAATAATCTCTCAGATTATGCTATAAACGAGGGCAAGTAGACAGGGCCTGAAGTTCTTCACCTTTCCACCCACAACAGCCACGCACTCTCTCATCAACAAGCCAGCCAGCCAGCCAGCCAGCCAGCAGACCGGACCGGACCATTCGCCGCTTGGCACTATTGTGAATGACGCTAACAACTTGAAAGGAACTGTTGACCTGAAAGCCATGTGCGAAAAGTCTCCTGTATGACACTATACTACAAGTCGCTGCGATATATTTACATCAAAGCAGCAATGCCAACAAGTCCTGCCCCAACTAGACTTCCCACACCAGTAATCATGGCCGCACCCGCCGAACTGCTAGAAGTTCCCGAAGCAGTTGACCCGGTTGGCATGTACGGATCTCCAGAAGTAACAGCAGTACCATCACCATCGGGGTAGCTATTACCAGCAGTCTCGTTGAAGTCGCCAGGCACACTAGTCTGATTCGAAACATAAAAGAAGTTGGCAGCAGCCGGATTGCCGAGTTGCGTATCATTGATGAAGTTCGTGAGATTGAAGCGCGAGCGGTTGCTGTTGCTGAGACCAGACCATTGTTCTGGGATTTTGAAATTCATTGGTTGCTGGAATGCGTAGAGGATGTAGCGGTGCGCGCTTGAGTTTGTTGGAGGCGAAGGACGTAGGTATTCTACGATGGGCGCGGAAGTGTTCTCCAATGGTCGTCCGACTGTGGAGAGCGGGAGAGTGGCTGGGTTGTTGTCGGACTGTGTGAAGTTTCCTTGCATCCAGTGAAGAATGAATCGATTGTTGGGCATCTCTGGATAAGAAGCATCTGGGTCGACCATAAGGACCAAGTATTCGCCGGAGTAGTTGGCCAGGGATTGGAATGCTGAGGTGTTGACGCTCAGCGTTGGGACGTTCTCTGGGATGTTGATGCCGAAGAGTGCTCCTTCTGTGACCGGAACTGTTCCATTTGTGGTGGTGAAGACTGCTGTGAGAGCCGTATCATTTGGCGCCTCTGGGAAGCCAAAGTCAGGTGGAGGAATAGCCAATGCCGGCGCAACGGCCAGAGCGAGAGTGGTTGCAGTGCTTGTCTTCATGTTGCTTATTATTGTTGGACACTTGAGGCATGGGAAGCATGGCCCCTGGCATTCCTCTCGTATATTGACATGCTGCCGATGATCAGCGGTATATCTCTACGTCACCTCGGCTTCGCGTTTCCGTCTTGTCTTGCCCTGTGTTCCCGTCTCATGCGGGCCACGTTTGCGGCGCCATCTTGCCATACATTGCACGACCATGACAGGTCAGCTGTGAGCCACAAACCTTTTACCAATGCTAGGCGGCATGCAAGGCCACTATGGCATTGGCGAGAAGCAAAGATGCGTGCGAGCAACGGATACAGGCCGCTGACGACATGGCCACCGCGCAGTTCTTCTGCAAAGGAAGTATCTCGGACTCATATTTCTCTGCACGCAGAGCAAAAGCGGTGAAGAGATGACATGCACGCTGTGAGGGAGATGAGCTGCTCGTGCTTCAGCAGATGCAGATGGAAAGACAAGCAGAATGCCATTCCTTCATTCTACCCAACGCGATGCATCACGCATCTACAAAACTCCCCAAGTCAACTCACATCAACCTCCTCAACCTTCCTCACAAACTCCATCCTCCCTTTCTCACCCAAGGACTGCACAGCAACGGCGCTCTCCTCCATTTCAATCCCGAGCACATCCAGACCCTTCCGAAACTGTCTCAAACTGCACTCCGCCTGACTCTGGTTCTGCCAGATGTACGATTCTCTGGCGTCTTTGACCATGCCAGCTTGTCGAGCGCCCAAGATGCGTAAGAAGTCGTAAAGCTCTCCGTGGAAGTTGAAGTGGAAGGTCGTGGATGAGAGCCAGATACTGATCGCTTCTTTTCGGATTTGTTGACAGGTTTCGAGGATGGATGGGAATTGGATGTGCTTTGCAGTTTGCTCTCGAGCTAGGCTGATGTGGTCGAGTGCGATGCTGGTGTAGTCGCCCAGGACATATTCGTAAATGCGATTACGGATCTCGCCTGGTAGGGTCAGGAGCCGGCAGCCTTCTTGGTCGCGCAGATCTTCGTTACGAGTGACTTCTTCAATCCCGACTTCCTGGACGCGAGCTGATTGGCTCAGGTGCGTATGGCCCTCGTGTAGATGAATGTGCATGTGGGCATTAATGTGAGCTTGGAATCTGGCATTGCAGCTTGGACACATGTGAGCTTGACGATGCAGGACATGGGAAAATGAGGTGGCCATGGCTAGACGACGCTGATCCATCTGCATTACTTCAGAGGTAGCGACTGAAGTTCTCTTTCACGAAACGTGGGCATGCTTGTCCCTATGATGTGGTGTTTGACCATTCCGGTCCTCTCAAGTCGGCTCCTTCCGATGCCGACATATACCTTGATGAATGCTCGTCACAAGGCACGCCACGATCTCAAACACAACCATCTAGCTAGTAAAGCAATCAAAATGCAAAAGCTGCCGAGCATACTAGACCATCTTCCGGTGGGTCTAGAGGAGAAGATGTTTTTGCGCCGAGCCAAACATCACCGATTCTCGGATGTATGATTCGCTGAGCTTGGTCAGCAGGGGTATTTATAGGCCGTACGAATGACTTACACATACTGTTCCGAAGGAGGAACCAGGCAGGACGAGTGGATGTTGTGAGAGTTGAGGTTAGAAGAAAGCAGCAACGTTGAGTTGAAAGTTGAGAAAGCGCATGCCGCGACGCCAAGCCACGCTCAAGCGTAGCCGCGAAGAACGTGCCACTCTGTGCGGAAGGCGTGAAGAGAGATAAAGGGCCTAGAGGCGTTAGAGCCTGATTGCCTTTACGAAATACTTTTCGCGCTTCAAGAAATGTCCGAGCCGGAAAAGCAGCCAAAGTGCCAACGCCGCACTCTGCTTCTGGCGGTCTGCCAAAGCAAGGTCTCCCAACTTCCAATCTTTTGCCTCTAGTCCACTCCTGGAGTGTATTTCCGTGATCAATTCCAAGTTGATCTGAATCTCGGTTCCTGAATGTTTGAGGACGGCCGTGACACTCTACTCTGTAACCACCACACCTGTAACCCCAATCGCCGTCCTCTTCAGCTCCACGCCGTTCGTCTTGAACATAGCCAAGGCTCCATTGACCTGTTGATTGATGCCCTGATGCATTATATCGTACCAGTCGTACTTCAACGAGACCTTCTCAAGAGCAGCACGCGCCTCAGGATCCAAAGAGCGCAAGAATGGTATTAGGTCGCGAGATGAGCGAGCAGTGATGTGAAAATGGCTGTAATAGATCTTGATGGCTTCTTGTCGAATCTCGTAGCATGTGCGGAGCAGAGCTGGAGGCTTGATACGCCAGCAGCTGGTAGGCGAGAAATGTGGTCTGGGTGCGTTGGCGGTACCGTTTGGAAACATTGCGTAACGGTAAATGCGTACCCGAATCGCCTCCGGCAACTCTAGCAGCGCGGATGGAGTGAATATCCTTTCCACTGTAGCCATCACCGGTCTGCTCTCAAGGTCGACATCCTCTGGGTCTTGGCCGACGGCATGTCCATCTTCCTTAGTCGCTGCATCAGGACTTGGCTGTTGAGATGCACCTACCGTCGAAGTCGAAGGTGTCACCGGCGATGGTGCTACGGTTCCGCGGTCGTCGCTGGAGTCATTGGAAGACATGTCTTGGTCAGATGGTGCAGGTGAAGATGATGGAATTGCAGCGAGTTGAATGTCCGATGCGATCCGTGGTTGTGACATCTCAGGATTGACAATTGCTGTCACGGGGAGGTCTTCAATGGAAAGTGTGTGATATGTCTTGGTGTTCAAAAGAGAAGTTGATGGCCGGCCAAGAAACGCCGTTCGAAGTCTGCTGTCGCTCAAGCTCACCTGCAGCTGCTTCACTTCACGAATGCACTTAAGATGCTCGGTGAGCCACAAGCCATTGCATATAACACTTCCGGGGCTCAAAGTGAGCAGAAACCGAATGATGGCAATAGCGGATTTTGTCTATTAGCGGAGTGTTGGGACAGTCCAGATATTCAGCGCGTTATCGGCGTCCGAGTGATACTGACTTCGGTAAGATGATTCATCTTCACTGTCGCTTTCATCAGCTCGACCGGGAAGAGATTGATGCCCGGATGCCGTTGCCAGAACGGCGCCGCTCAAGTGCCAGACAGCACTGGCCACTGCTGCATTATTCACGTGAAGTTCAGCATCAGGTGGCTGGTCGTCAGAAATTTGGCCAGGGTTCGACCACACCCTTACTTGGCCGTCAGTTCCACCAGTCCAGACTTCGTAGCCAGATGCCGTATGTATAACATCCATGTAAAGTGGCTGCGGCGTATCAGCGTGCCTGCCTACCAAGTTGACCAACTTCTGTTGCGTGTTGCGAATATCGAAAACCTGAATGCGGTCGCTCTGCCTCTCGCCGACGAGCAGATACGTTCCATCAGGACTCCATTTTAGATCCGAGATGCCATTGCCGAAACCCTCCACGCTGAAAGTCGACGCCCAAGCGCCCAAGGCATCATGATCATAGAGGGCGACCTCGCGCTGTGTAGTGCCCAAAGCAAGTATGCCATCACAGCTAATACTCATTGCTGACACGAAGGCTTTGCGAGCCAATCCATGAAGTCCGCCTCGGTGAGATTTCTTCGCTGGAGTCAAACGCGTGAACTTCGTGGGTGCTTCTCCGGCTCTGCTGCAGTCGAAGACAGCCAGGGCATTTTCGCTGCCAGCCACGAAATGCTCACCGGTACGTGTGAATAGCAGACTACGAGGAGGCAGATGCGCTTCGGTCTGGGATTTGACAAGCGGGTAGCTGCCGTGTATCGTGTCATAGTGCAATGCATTCCTCAGAGTGATCGGAACATGGGCACTTCCCGTCAACACCAGAGTCGTGGCTGCATTCTGAAGGTCGAAGCCTGGATACAACGCATGATTTTGGATATTGCTGCCAGACTGCCAGGAAGCATAAGGCCGCAGCTGCTTCGGACCATCGGATTCCTCCAGGAGATCTGTTGGCAAGACAAAAGTGCGTAGGCAGTTGTCTTGGCTTCGCGTGATCACGGAGGTCCCATCGGGGCTGAAAAGCGCTTGTCGAAAGGCGCTCTGAGGCCGAGGCTTCTCATCGCCGCTCGACGAGTCGCCGTCCCGTGTTCTTGTCGTCGCGATGCACTTCGGTCGAAGTTGGTGGCCGAGAGAAGCCATGCCATGACGAGGTTCAAATGAAATGCCGGCGGCAAAATCGAGAAAGGACGGGAGTCCGTGCTGTCCGGCTTCAGGGCCGAGAACTCACGAGCTTCGAAGAGCTTCGACAAAAGTTCTACCCTCTCTCCTCTATCCATTCTGCAGCAACCGACTCTCAGACACTCCCGAAAACACGTCCACCGCACACTCCGAGCTACCGTTCAAAGCTGCATCAAAATGGTATGTCGAAATCGATGAGATTGAGCCCCGCAGAACTAATGCGACGACGACCAGACTACCGCCATCAAGTCCATCAAGGCCCTCGCACCACTCCTCGACCGCGTTCTGATCCAGCGCGTAAAGGCTGAGGCAAAGACATCCGGTGGCATCTTCCTCCCAGAGACTGCAGTGAAAGAGTTGAACGAGGCCAAGGTGCTGGCTGTCGGACCCGGTGCATTTGACAAGGACGGCAAGCGATTGCCCATGGGCGTGAAGGCGGGCGACAAAGTCCTCATTCCTCAGGTAAGGCAAAGAAAGAGTTTGATGGGTAGGTCATAATGGGAAACGGGACACTAATGTGACATACAGTTCGGTGGCAGCCCGATCAAGGTTGGCGAAGAGGAGTACTCCATCTTCCGGGACCACGAGTAAGTCATCAACAAGATGAAAAGCCTCAAGGTAAACGACTGACAAAATACAGTATTCTTGCCAAGATCAACGAGTAGACGGCCATGATACCTGGAAACGAAAATTTGTAACAATAGCATTACCCGGCGTCCGACTACAAGCGCGGTGTGGAGAGCATCGGCGGCAGTCCGAGCAACTTGTTCAATGTACTTTTTGACAATGTGTAGTAGAACCTCCATGTGAATAAATCTCTGCTCTTCGACGGCACATATGCTACTGACTCCTAATACGCACTGATCTGCCACAATAGGTCGCCCACGACAGCGCTCTAAACGAGGTCATGAAGACAGAAGCCGAGTAGCAACGGACTGCGAAAGTACTTCTGACTCGTTTCTGGTTATCGCTAGGGCCTTGTCCTGCGCTCGTCTCCGAAATCGATTTGCAATTACACATCGGAACGATACAGGCCATGTGCTTGGGAGGGAGCATTCTTATGCTGGGCGTCCCGGGTGTCTACGACTTTTACTGGCGGTTATGATTGTTCTTGGTGGCTCCGCAACCTTGGCTCCCTGGAAGCAGGTTTCCGCACGTGGAAAGCCGCACGCGGTTTCGTGGAGAAATGCTCGTCATGGCGGCGAAGCTCTGATGATGAAGAGTGGCCCTTTTTAGTACACACATAATCATGGAGGATTACCGTCCGATGCTACACCTGTAACTCTTGACACGACGGATCTCCAATACAGCTCGCTCTCAATCTGACTGCTTAGGCAATTCACTGAGAGTGCATTCGCCGCCGGATCAGAAAAGGACCTTTTCGAAGGATACTGGAAGACTCATACATGCCGTTTCTTCTGGACTGTTGACAAAGATGGACAGACTTTGTTGGCATCGGGACTCCATGGTCAGCTGCTCTTGGTCGATAAATGGAATGGTATCGTACTCGCCCAAACTTGCTCCCAACCCGATCGAGAGGACCTGAACAAATTCCACCTTGGCCTGCGTGTTTGAGAGCAACTCGTCGAAATAATCATCAAAAGAGAAAACGACCGAGCCGTCACGGTGAGATTCTACCTTGACGCGGACAGGAATAGGTTGAGATCTTAGAATTGTTATTGCGTAGAGGTCTGGCCCATCTGACTTCGAGACTTTCCATAAAGTAACGAACGGCGGAGATACCGGAGACTGAACCCAACACATGAGACTTGACCCGAGTCGCGGGAATTCTTCATCGGCGAACGTTGGCGGGCTGGTCGGGAGTCAACCGATAGGATACATACGATTCGTGGTCGACTCCCTTGCTCTCAAATACGGTTCCACTTGGCAACGTGAAGCTGACTCTGCCCTCGACAGGATGACTGAACTTTACACCATACCGAGGACCATAGGTGCTAGTAGCCTGCTGGTAACTAGGCCTGGGCTGACACTCCTGGAGCATCATACCGTTATAGCTCCGAATCTCCTGCAATCCTTCCAGGCTGTTGATGTTCTCCCAGAACTCGTTCCATGCCATCTCCGTTCGTCCTTCAGCACCCAGGACGCCACTTCCAGCCAGCCAACGTATGTCGCGATTGATTTCGACGGACTTGATCCTGTCCCAAATCGACGGCGAAAGTGACTTCTTGGTTGACCTGACGCGTCCAGGATCCATGAAGCAGAACGTCGTGCTAATGTAGAGCATATGGAAGCATTCGAGATAAAGTTGCCTACAGCTCAAAGGCAGGGCCAAGCGGCTGTTGAGTTTATACCGAGCCAGGGCTGGAATTCCGACAAGCCTCTTCTTGGGGAAGTGCCTGACCTGGCCGATTGAGACTTTGATATGATCGAAGACATAGACATAGATCATCTGTCGTATCTCGAGAGGAAGACGGGCGAGGAACGCACTCTGGGTTTGCGGTCTTGGATTAAGCTTGGTCACATCCAGGAATGCCTTCCCCCGTCGACGTTGACAGTCCCTCTTCCTCTCTGAAAGCTGGTCGTAAGTTCTCCAGTAATGCTCTTTGATTTGATCACGTGTGTAGGAAGCAATGTATTTCGGTGGAAAAACGCTGCCAAATGTGAGGAACACACAGGCTTGGACCGCGGCTCTACGCTTCTCCCCGTTGCGCTGTCCATTGCCGTCGTACATGTCTTGAGAAAGATGGAAACGAGGAGGAGAGCTGTGACTTGCACAGAAGTCTTCCTTGAATCTTTCATCGTTTTGTTAAGAGCAGGATGATGGCTCAAATGCTACTCAGCCACTGTGGATCCTTCACGAGATATTTGCCTCAGGCAACTCTGGACACGCCCGGCAAGAAGCAACGAACCTTTCATAAAAGTTCATCCAAAAGACAATCTAGCTTACTCTCTTGATTCCTCGGCATCAACAAGCAAGAGAATGAAAAAAAGCCATCAACCAAGTCGCTTGCACACTGCTGTCTTTCGCAAAGCCCATGGTCATTCAAGCAATATGTGCCATACCATGCAAGTAATCCCCCTCTCCCCAAATGTAGATACTACTGATAACCCTCCCTCGAAACATCTGCTGGTGTTGAGCAAGCATATATGCAATCGTGCGGAAATTGTAAGTCCCAAGAACAGCATAGAAGGGCTCATCAGCCTTCCTGCCCTTCCCGTTCTGACCCGGTCGTCTGAACATATGCGCATTCTTCCACCCCTGTGGTGGTGCCTCCAGGTCTGGATCGTCAGCTCGGAGCGCTTGCCAGATAATGTCGCGGGTCGGGACAGATTGAGAAGTTATGCCTCGGACGAAGACGTAGCGGAGGTGAGGACCGTGTTCTGGGTAATTGGTGACGAGGTGTTTCCAGGTCAGGAACAAGACGTCGGAAGGATGAGAGATTCCGGGTGTGTTCTCTTGAGTAGGCTTTTTGCCGCTGGCTTCGAGCATGTAGGCTGGGCTGTGTGCCGTGTACATCACCACTGCGCCCTGCGTGGGATTGAAGATGGAAGCATATTCGGCATGTGTGGCCTGCAGGATATTGAGAGTTTGGTATCAGACCTGACGAGTCTGACTGACGAAGCTTACCTGGATAGTGACCTGTTTGAGTTTTCCATTTACCTGCATCGGTACAGTCACTTCGTTCTTATGGACCATAGAAAGGCCTATACTCTTCTCCTCGTTGAACTGGATATGGCACGATCGAGACGCCTCCTCAAGTCCGCCCGTCTTTTCTTCAATGATTTCCATACGCTTCTCCGTGGCGCAAACCCAGCCCCATCTCATCAGATTCTCGTAGTCTCCAGCGCGCTGGTCTCGAGCTTTAGGGTTGATCATCATGTCCCACAGCTTCTTACCCTTCTCGACAGCGTACTGGTACGGACTGGCTTGCCGAGCATAGATCTCTGGTGGATAGGATGTACTGCTGAAGTTTTCCTTGCCGTCAAGCGTGACCAGGAAAGGTTTGCGTGTGATTGAGCCGTGCCTGATGGAACCAGGCGGTGGTGATGCCACGGCAAGCATCGTGGAGAGCATCATGCTCAATATTTGTGCAGAAATAGACTTCATCGTAGATGTTGTGTTGACACAGGTTTGACAGTCTTCGTTTGGTGTACTTGTGTATGACAGTTCAAGCCTCTTCGATTCTGAAGCTGCGTTCTGTATACCACTGCAACAAAGAAACTCGACGGAGAAGAGTAAGGGGCTTTTTTTGTACACTGCATTCTCCACGAATGTCACATTGCTGTATGACATTCTGCATCATTCGGGTGCCAGCAAAGCAATCACGAGACGTTGGAAAGGCGAGAGTAGGAGAATATCGGAGAGCGAAGAACAAAGAAGTCATGAAGCTTAGCTGAAGCATCGACCTGAGTGCGATACTCCCAGAACATCTGCCCGATATATGTCCGCTGGCGCCTTTCGCATTGTATGGAAAATCATGCAGAAAGTCCTCTCCTTCGAAAACAAAATGAATGGAGGAAGCTCGCTCAATAATTTGAATGCTTTCAATCCTCACAAACAGTGCCATGAATCGCTTCGTGTGAAACACATACTCGATAACCCTGTAATCACTTGAAACTCAGGGCTATTCATCTTCTTCTCCGATGACCCAGTGTGTTTAGTGTGTAGTTTGAATGAAATTTAACTTGGTCAAAGAATAGTGCAAGGTGTATTGTTCGGCTCCGAGTGTGCATGTGATCGGGCTTGAGTGAACTGTTTAAGGTGAATCCTGGATCTGGGGAGCTGCCAACAGCAGCAAGGCTAATGAGAGAAGCCAGGTAGAGAGGAGCCATGTTTGGTGAAGCGAGATGTGATCGGTTAGTATTGCGGTAGCTGGTTCGCTCTTGGTCAGTTCGATCCCTGACTAGACAGTTGTTGGCGGGAATGGATGAGTATAGATATTGGGGTTTGAGACATAGTGTGACAATAGTTGCTGCAGTGATTCTGCTCAGCATGTGATAACTTCCAAGAACGTGTGAAGCACCGCTCCGTTGCAGTCATTCACTCACAGCTGAAGCACGGACCACAGTTGCCATGTGAACCGTGGAGTGATTCTGTTCCCTAGCTACCCTTTATAAACCCCGCTACACCCTGTCCTTGAGCATCATCTGACCAACACTGATCGCAACGGCTCGATTGCGCACCTTTTGATCACTCAGCCATACATACCTCGAAGTCACCAAGATAAAGCAGCTGCTCCCTCAAGAACCACACGACCACGGTCATGTTCCATTTCGGCTATCCGTTCGATTACGCCGTTCCAGCGCGACGCGCCCCCTCGCGCGGCCCAACCGAACAGTCGCAGGTCCAGTCGCGTGGCCGCGCAGCAGATCAGACTACTCAAGCTCGTCCGCGCATGCCCTCGCGTAGCCGCACGAGCAACAGCTTCATGCATATTGGCTATCCGTTTGACTATGCTGTGCCAGCTCCAAACCGCCGCCCAGACACAGCAAATGAAGACAGTACTACGACACGCCTTTCTGCTTCGGCCCGCCGCTACAAGGAAATGCCACCAGATCCTGGCTATGTCGACCGATCGGTGACACAGTCGACTCGTGGTCGCAGCAAGACGCGATCTAGACCAGACAGCACGACGACGATGGCAGAAAGCTACGGCGGAGGTCACGGTCGGGCTGCTATGCAGTATCACTCGGACGATAGGAGGAGATCGAGGTCGCGCAATCGAGAGACCCGATATGGCAAAGAACCATTTCTGAACATGTTTGCGGGAGAGCATCTGGTCGAGGCAAAGACTGGTGATGGCCGTTCTCGCTCGCGTTCTCGCCTGCGTCCCCGTCCCAACCTCTACCAGGACGCCTATCCAGACTTGCTTGATGTCGCTCGTGGGCCACAATTTTTATTTCAGCACAAGGGAAACACACCAGCTGCAGACGCCACTACTTCTCGCCGCCATTCTCGGTCTCGCCAGTTGCGCGCTGCTCGGTCGCCATCGCGCTCCGTACAGGCCGACTTGCTTGCCGCATCTCGTCCTGACCTCTTCGAGCGTCAGGCTGACTTGAAGGAGGTTCGCCCGGCACAACGCAAGCGTCGCAACGCGAGCAGTCATCGTTTCGACGACGAAATGTGGCGTGCATCTCGTCCAGATCTCGTCGACAGTGTGGAAGAGGCTGAGCGTAATCGTCGCCGTTACGAGAACGACATGTTCCAGGCTGGCCGACCAGACCTGTTTCGCCAGCATGGACTCTCTCGCACGCCTGGTGGCCGTAATGTCGACTACTACCGCCCAGGTGGAGGATATTAGTGCGTCATTCCTCAGTTGTGGGAGGCACGACGGGGGTTTTTGATGATTTCTGTTGTTTTCAGCACGTGCCGAGCTTGTTTGTTTGTCTTTCAAATGCGTTCGCGATACATGGACGGCTCCTTGGATGCGATCGTCACTGCTGCCGCTGAGAATGGGAAGGAGGGACCTCTATGGTTGGGCTGCAGTGAAGCATGACGGGTATTCGGCGTTCACGGATTTTGCAGTCTGCCCTACCGCAAACGCATATCAAGCGTATGACCAATGGTGAGGGTGTCTATGTGGCTCTCGGCCTTGATGCAAGCGGCCACCGAGACAGATGAGTCAATGACAAGGTATACACAGACCTTCTTAAGAACCATCGTCGCCCCATCCTGTCCATACATATTATTGCTTCTCCGCTTCCTTCCGTGAATAGTGGCGCGACGGGCGGCGATGAGGTGCTGCGACTTGGCGAGCCAGTCAGACCAATGGTGGGATATATCAGCAGCAGTCCCGACTTCTTTCTCCGGCGCCTTTGCGTCTCCTTGCCTACAGAATTGTATGGTCGTACAGCAGCATGCGGGAAAGAAATCGGACGCGTGAAGTCGGGGACCGCCTGCAAGGTTTCGGAGGGAGCTTTGATCGCTCCGTAGACCCTGGTGATTTCGTTTGGTACGGGCGGAATAGCGAGGGAGAAGAGTCATATATCACATCGCTCTCTCCGACCGGCAGAGACAGCGGCCATTGCTCCCAAGCCTTTTCATTCCTGGTCCAGAATGCCATCTCACAGCGCATCGCAACGCTATCTCAGCACGCGAGGAGGCTCCTACGATGTACGTCTTGAACGCCTGCGGGCAGCTATGCAATGCACATATGAAAGAGCTCGGAATAGAGACGGGAGAAAAGCGTGCATTTCGCCATGACAAAACCTGTCATGTGGCACGTTGCATACAAAGCATAGTGTGAATGCTTAGCGAGCCTTCGTTCGGTTGTAGTGTGCTTCCTGCGTCCATGCTGAGAAAGTGAGCAGTTCTCCTTCGAAGATGTTGTGTTGAAAGGCCTGGCGCAAGACGGCGGACTATTCATACCAGAGGACATCCCTACCCTCCCGCCCGACTTTCTTACCAAATGGCAAGACTATTCGTTTGAAGAGCTCGCTTTCGAAATATTCACGCTCTATATTTCCCGCCAAGAGATCCCCGAAGCAGATCTCAAGGACATCATAAAACGATCGTACGAGACGTTCAGAGCGCCAGAAGTCACACCGCTCGTCACGTTGGACAAGAGCAAGAAGCTGCATTTGCTCGAGCTCTTCCACGGACCGACCTTCGCGTTCAAAGACGTTGCCTTGCAATTCGTAGGCAACTTGTTCGAGTACTTTCTCGTTCGAAGGAACCAAGGCAAGAAGGATGAGAACAGGGAACATTTGACTGTCATTGGCGCGACATCGGGAGACACTGGCTCGGCAGCTATCTATGGGCTGAGAGGCAAGCAAGATGTATCGGTCTTCATAATGTATCCCAAGGGCAAGGTCAGCCCCATACAAGAAGCCCAGATGACAACAGTCCCAGATCAGAACGTGCACAACATCGCAGTACAAGGCACGTTTGACGATTGTCAAGTGAGTAATTAGCAGCAGAGAAGTGATGCTGATGCCAACTAACGCTTGCTTCACAGGGCATACTCAAAGACTTGTTCGCCGACAAGGAGATGAACGAGAAGTTCCGCCTTGGGGCTGTCAACAGCATCAACTGGGCCAGAATTCTTGCGCAAATCACATATTACATCCATTCCTACTTTTCCCTCGTACGGCAGACGAAGGAATCAAATCCCAAGTTCCGCTTCGTTGTGCCCACGGGTAACTTCGGAGACATCCTGGCTGGATACTTCGCGACGCGCATGGGCCTTCCGACCGACAAACTTGTGATTGCGACCAACGAAAACGACATTTTGCACAGATTCTGGAAGACGGGGTCGTACGAGAAGAAGCCGAAGCATGGCGCTGAAGCTGAAGGAGGCCTAGAAGAGGATGGAGCCAAGGCCGATCCATCTGGTGTCAAAATGACCTACGCTCCTGCCATGGACATCCTGGTGTCGTCAAACTTTGAGCGACTCTTGTGGTTCCTGGCGTACCAGACTAGCAATGTCGAAGAAGTCAATAGACGCCGCATGGTTGCTGGCGAACGCGTGAAAGGCTGGCTGGAGTGGCTGAAGTCGGAGGGAGGATTCGATGTGGAGAAGGAGATTCTCGCTGCTGCCAAGAAGGAGTTCGAGAGCGAACGTGTGTCCGACAAGCAGACCATCGACACAATCAAGGACGTGTACACCTGGACCTTGCCGGAATCGAGCGCAGTCAACGGCAAGCACAAGCCGGCCACGACTGGAATGCTGCATAATGGTCATTATATTCTCGACCCGCACTCTGCCATCGGTGTTGCTGCGGCACTGCGTTCAGTCAAGGCGTCGCAGGATGCAGGCTCGAATGTGCATCACATCTCGCTCGCGACAGCTCACCCTGCCAAGTTCTCTCATGCTGTCGAGCTGGCTCTCAAGGACGTGGAAGGCTTTACATTCGAGACGGTGCTGCCAGAGCAATTCATTGGTCTCGACAAGCTTCAAAAGCGCATCACCGAATCATCAAGCGATTTCAAGGAAGTTCGGAACATCGTCATCAAGGAAGTGCAGTCAGAAAAGACACGGTAGTTCTGAGAGCAGATCAAGGGCGGCAATAGAAAAAAAGCGCAAAGAGAATACAGATGCTTCCAACTTGCAGAGGAGGATTTTTGCGTGGTCAAGAAAGCAAAGACCCGTAGACATAGACGATAATCTACGCTATCAAGGCTGGTTCGCACGTGGCGGCCAGATAGTTTTGGGGGGCGCTTCAAAGCAGACAAGTCGTGCCGGATAGCGTGGACGGCATCAGAGTCAATTTAGAGGCGTTCAAGAATTGGTGGGTGGTATCTGATGATGCTTGATGAAAATGTGATGAGATTCATGATAGACGAACGCTCTTGTCACGTTGTGGACTGAAGCACCACGAGCCCAGCAGACTCAGTGTGTAGCATTTGAACGGTACTCATTCGCATGATCTTTGTACACGAAGAATGGAATGTAGATACATAAATTCGATGCTGTGGCTCGTGCTCGGTACGTATGTATTTCACGGGACACAATGACGATCACTCGGCGAGGCTTCTGCGCTAGCAAAGTTTCTGTAGGCGCGCGTTAGGCCCTGTATACTTCTGTAGATTATCGGCTTATTTCCTATAGATTATTAGCAATAATCTACAATCTATAGCTTCTTAAATACTATATACTTCTTAATCGTACGACTATTATAGATTATAGGTTATCGTAAAGAGATTATTAGGGATACTAATTGCGGTAGTTATATACGAATAACCTACTAAACACCTCGAGAGGTGCTTTTAGCCCCTAAATAATAGACTTCTCGTCGTTTCCGTAGTAGCTCTTCTTTCTAACTATTATTATATATCTAATATAGACTCTATCTAAGTCGCCGTAGTCGTCGTTTTTATCGCTAGAGCGACCCTCGCCGCCTCGATCCCTCTCTTTTAACAAAATACGCGTAGACGGTAGTACTAGCTATCTAGTAAGACCGAGACCCTTACGGAGCCGAATAAAGGCATAAAGGAGACCTTTCGAGTACTATATAGTCCGGAGTAGGATTATTATAATATAATACGTCTTAGATAGCCGGTGCTATATAAGTTAATATAGGAGCTAAAGGAAGGCGGCGATTTGGATCTATACGGCGCGATTAAGGTTTTAGTCGAGGAGTAGGTAGTTATATTCTTAGACTTCGTAGCGTACAACCTATCTATAAGGCAGCTAAGAAAGGAATATTAGTACTCGTTTAGCACCTTTAAGTTAATTACTAAGCGAGTTAGCAAAGCGCTCTATAGGATAGTAGATAAATATATATCGTTGCTAGAGGCGGACTCGATTTACGAGAAGCTAAAAGATCCTCTATTTAAGTACTTCTTAGGCGCGCTCGGCGCCCTTAATAGTACCTATATCTACGCTCAAATACTATACTAAGAATAGAGCGCCTAGCGTTATAGGAAGAATTTTATCGCGTAGAATGTAATAGCGGCGTACGACTTCGACTATAAGTTCTTATACGCGTTTGTCGGTTACGAAGGCTCTATAAACGATAGAATAGTATTAGGTCGCGCCTTTAAGAGCGGTAGATTTAGCGTACCTAAAGGTCGATATTATCTCGCTAACGGTAGCTATTTACTACTCGATAAGCGCCTTCTAGTACTATACTAAAGAACAAGATATTATCTTCGTAAGTAGTACGCTTCTTCTCGGCGACTAGAGATAAAGGAAGAGCTATTCAACCTCCGCTACGCGTAGCTTCGTAACTATATAGAGCGGATATTTAGCATTATTAAGAAGCGCTTCGAAATCGTCGCTTAAGGTCTATACTAAGGTTATAAACTTATCGACTAGAAGCGTATCTTAATAGCCTATTTCGTACTCTATAACTTTATCCTTAGCTATAGCGGACAGCCTCTCGAGAGCGAGCCTAAGCTTACTAGAAGCAATAGTATAATTAGAAACCCCGATAGGTCCGTAAACGAGATACAAGGTAGTATTAAAAACGATATAATAATCAAGTTTCGTAATAAACTAGCGGAGGAAATGTAGTAGGACTATCTCGAGTATTTAGAGCGGAAACGGCTCGATTAGCGCCTATAGGAGTAGGGTAAAGTTCAGTTATTACCGGAGGCTATCTAGTAGGGGATATAGGAGGCGTTTTTAGTAAGGTTTTCGCTGTTTCTTCCCTTCTAGCTATAGTAACAGTATATAGACTACCTTTCTACGTCTCTATATCGATATCTCGAGGTAAGTTAACGTTATATTAGTACGGTCTTAGCGGGGTAGGGTTTAGGATATAAAGAGTTTAGAATTTGTACTTTATATAAAAGCTAGTTACGTACGATTCGTCGATATATAATAAAATACTAACAAAGTCGAATTAATTGCTAACGTAGAGTTACTATATATATAAGTGCGTATCTCTCCGACCTCCTAAACTATAAAATTAGACTCAGACTCGGATTAGCTAAATTTAACCTCTAAACTTTAGTCTATACTAACTCTTCTACAAATAACAACCTATCGCTAGCTCTATAGATACCCTAAACCGGGTAAAAGGGTAAAGGGCGACGGCTAGCTATACGTAGGTATATCTAGATACTATCCCTATAGTCGAGGTATACTATTAACCTCGTTTTAAAGCTCTACGAAGAAGGCTTCGAAGTCCGCTTGCCGTTTAGGTCGTATTATGTAAGAAGGGTTATGTTAGCAGGTAGATAGGGTAGTAGTAAATCAGTTTAGTATTCGATAGAGATCTAGGAGGAGAGGGAGGAAGGTAGGAGAGTTAGCCTAACGCCAAGCGCTAAGCCCTGCCTAAGGCATTAAGACCCTAGCTTCACTCGGCCTAGTTATATGCCAATTACGTGTAGCCTCTTTAGCCCTAACACACGCTTCCCTTCTAAAGGCCGCGCCCTCGTAGCCGGTCTTTGTTCTAGTCTCAACCCCTATTACTACTAACTTAGCAGGTCTAATAAGCCGCTTAATCCGCGCTAAATTAAACACTTAGCTACCGGATTATGTAACTATATCAAACCTTACCTTCTAATACAATATCTAACTCTAACTACGCTATCCCTATATACAACGAACTATAAAGTAATATATATCTACAAGAATTAAGGGCCTTCGACTAATTATAATACGAGCGCGTCTTCCCTACTATAATAGGTAGACGTACGAGGTATTGTAGCCCTGCCTCCGCTCTACGTAATATCGTACCGAGTTCTTTGCGTCTACTCTTAAAAGACCTAGCAATATCCGCTTCCGAGGGTTGTCCGTTCCGAGGGATTGTTCTTATTATTACGAGGGCTATTATTTACTATCGTAGTTTTACTAGCCTAAATTAGTTAGGTTTAGTAGCCTTTAAGTGTCAACCAATTATATCTTTTTAAAAAACTTAGTTCTTCTAGTTTCTATAGGTAAAGGCTATTATAAGTGCAGTAGTAGAGGTTCGCCTCGCTTAAAGGGTTAGATAGATCGAGGAGTAACCTATTGTCCGCAAGATCGACCCCGGCTAGCTTAGCTCTATAGTTTTGCCCTTAGTTAGTCTATTAGTCGCTTAATCTTTTAACTTAGTTAAAGTTCTAACTTGGCCTTAAAGTTTTAATTAAACCTTTAATAGGCTCAATCTTTTAACTTAGTTAGTGTAGTGCCTTAGGCTCGTAGTGCAGGTAAGGTTGTGCCTGCGGCATAGCGGCAATAGCAAGTAATGTTAATAATAGCGGTGCTAGCCGTCTTAGCGCTAACTTCACCTTACTTCTAATTTTCTTCTTTAACTAACAACACACCCCGCAACACCGTTACTAATATAGCCGCGCCGGCCGCGCCGTCTTCGCCGATTGCCTAGGCCTCGAGGCCCCGATAGAATAAGGGAACAAGAGGGGGACCTATAGGGCGCGTTAGTAAAGAGGTAGAGTCCCTAAAAGAGTATGCGATTGATTAATAGACGCGTCGTAGCGCGCCTAGTATAGTCTTATTGTCCTAGTTTGCCGGCCTCTAATTAGTTAGCTAATAGCACCCCGGGGGTAGCATTATTCCTAAGCCTTAGTAACATTACGAGCTTTTAGCCTTCTTCTTGTTCTTTACGCTAGTCTAATACTCGTCTAATAGCTTAGCTATATCCTTAAAGGAACCTTTAGCTTCCTACGAGTCCTATTTAGGTAAATAGCCTTGCTATCTTAATAGGTACTCCTTCTTACCTTTCCTAGTCCGGTGCTATAGGATACGTTCTATAGACTACAGCTCTTCGCTATTAGCTAAGACTTCTTCTGACTTAGTAGGCGCTTCATCGCCTTCGCGCTAGTAGTATAGTTTAAGGAGGGATACGTAGAAGGTATTATAGATAGTGTAATAGGGTAGAAGCTATAACTAATAGGCCTGTGCGAAGGAGCCCTTAACTTCTCGAATGCGGAATAGACTAATGTACCTTAGTGCTAGTTTAGGGCGTGTTTTGCTATTAGGTAATAGGTGTTTACGGATACGGAGGTTCTTCGTACTAAGTATAACTATGTCGCCTTGTTTGAAGGTTATTAGCGTATAGTGTTTATTATAGTAGGCCTTCTAATAGGCCTAGGCCTTTGCTAGTTTGTTAGCTATTATAGCGTAAATTTCTCGCATCTTTTAAACCCTCTTAATAGCCGCTAGTGTTTTAGGGGTTAGTACTTAATACGCTTCCCTTTCCTTGCGCTCGGCCTCGAGCGAGGTAAATAGATCTTGTAGTAAGGCAGCGTTCTAGCCTATTATAGCGAAATACGGTAACACCTTAGTAGATAAGTAGACACTATTGTTGTATACGAATTCGGCGGGTTGCAGGAGATTGACCTAGTTATCGGGGTTCTTATTAATATAGCTACGCAGGTACTGCTATAGCGTAGCATTCTGCCTTTCGGTCTAACTATCTGTTTGTAGATAGAATGCTATAGACAGGCGATACTTGAGTCTTAGCTATAGGCAAATCTCACTCTAATAATAAGATATAAATATCGAGCCTCGGTTAGAGACTATCCCTTTAGGGGTCCTCTAATAGGTATAGAAGATGTTGTTCTATAGCGCTTCTACTATATCAATAGTAGTCTAATCCTTCCGCGCCGGGATGTATCGAGCGCCCTTAGTAAACCGGTCTATAACGACTAGGATAGCGTTAAAGATGTCTTTGCTTCCTCTTCGCTTAGCAGGAGGAAGACCTATAATAAAATCCATTATAAGCTCTACAAATAGCTTATAAGGGATTAGCAATGAGGACAACTCGCTAAAAGGCTGATACTTTAGTGCCTTAACACGTTAATATACGGTATACGTGTTTACGTAGTCCTTTATATCCCGCTTACTATTTAGCTAGTAGTATGTACGCGATAGTAGCTCGTGCGACCTCTC